ACCAGTGACGAGCACGTAGCTCTCGACACTTTGGCCGAGTGGTTAAGGCGGTGCCCTGCTAAGGCATTATCCGTTGGATGCGCAGGTTCGAATCCTGCAGGTGTCGCTTTTTTGCTGTTTTTATTTCGACTTTTTTTATTTTGGCATGGTCAGAGAATGCGCCGCTGCGCCGCCGGCTCGGCTGCCGAATCCAGCGATGTGCCCGAGCGACTCGAGTAGCGGCGGATATCCGTTGTGTGGTCGCTGTACGAGATGCTGTCGTCAGTCCGTATTGCCGGGATGCTGCTGCGCGTAGGGTGCACTGCGTATTCGGAGCGGTCGTAAAACGGGCTGCGTACCTCACTGTTGATTACCACCTTTTCCAGCGGAGCATTGGATGATGCGTTCATGCGCGCATAGCGGAGCGGGTTGTCGCCGCGCAAATTCAGGTTTGCCTCGTACATATCCTGCAGCCCGTCAGTACGAAGCCGCAGCAGCCATTCGCGCTCGTACTCTTCGGGCCGGGCAATACTCATAACGACAGGGTACGCCATAATAATCAGGATGATAGCGTTGATGACGAATGCATCGCCCAACGTCTCTGCAACGCGGTAGCCGCGGATCAATGGGTATTTTGGGTGTGTGTAGTGTACGACATTAGTTTTCACCATGGCCGCAATGCCAAACGCGCATATAAACAAAAACTCGTAGAACTCGTTGAATGTTGACTGGATATTGCGCAGCCTGTACATCATCACCAATATAATAAGCCAGTTGACCCACAGCAGGCTGAGCGTAACGTACACGTATCCCTCAGTGGTACTGCACAGCTCTAGCTGTTTGACGTAGCCAATTGTCAGTCGCGACGACATGGCCTCGGTGACAATGGAATAAACAAGCACGCAAGCCAGCAACACTATTGTCGGCATATAGTATGCCAGCCCGCGCGTTGGCCGGTTCTGGTTAAACACACGATCAAGCGCATAGCACCGGCTAATCAGCACCGTTGTGTAGACAAAGCAGAACAGCACACGCACCCAGATATTCCACTCCTTGCAGCGGCTAAAGCTGCCCTTTAGTAGAACGTGGCCGTTCATCGGAATATCGCCAACAAACCACAACACGCCTGAAACAAACATGGCAGTAGTTAGCGGCAGGTTCTTTGCGCGAATCGGCCGAAAGTTGCGGTTTATCCAGGCGATAGCCATAAACAAGAACGTGACGCCAAACATGGCACTGCCAACTGCAATGACTGCGGTGTCGACCTTGTCAACAGGGTTGATGTGCATTTGGAACAGATTCTCGAGATACTACATGTACCCGCGTCCTTGCGTTCCGCATTTAGTAGCCGACTACGCGGCTCGGTTAACCCAAAGTGAAAACATCATGTTTAGCTGGTAATTGTACCTGAATCCGCTGGCCCTCGCTTTCAAATACGCTTGACCGCCGAGCGCCCGCAAGCGCAGCCATGGTTAACAGTGCAAAAGATAAAGAAAAAGAAATGCGAATAAGAATAAAAACGCTCTGCGCCTGGATGTGGAGGAGCACTTTTTTATAAATCCGATGCACCCACCGCGGAGCTGCCAGTGCACATCGATTTTACGGATTGCCGAGAATAGCCGGGATAGGGCAAAATTTCGAAGCAAATAAATTGGCGCGCCGGATTAGGAAATACAATTAGTATGTCCTTCCTGCCCCAGGATAGCGATCAACATCGAGCTGCAACTAAATAAGCGTGCAAATCTCCGCCGGCCGCAAATAAAGTGCGAATCGCCGGCAGAAGAAGACAGTCCGCGCCAAAATGACCCGTCGGCATTCGCCCGCCACGGCCGGTCCGGCCACCGATGCGCTATCCGCCACCGGGTTGAGCCGCCGGACCGCCTTCTTGGCTCAGTTTGGCAGAGCGTCTGCCTAGTAAGCAGAAGGCCGCCAGTTCAAGTCTGGCAGAAGGCACGATCTTTTGCCGCCCGCCAGCGCATCTTTTTGCAAAAATAAAGACCAGGCAGCAAATGCGGCAAAAAAAAGGCAAACGCCAGAAACGGCAAAAAATTGGGGCTCTGCCGGGACTTGAACCCGGGACCTCTCGCACCCTAAGCGAGAATCATACCGCTAGACCACAGAACCTTGTGAAGTTGCAGACGCCGGTATTGGCTGCTGCTGACCGAGTGGCGGCTGGCACAGTCACATCCGGAACCGAAGTTTCAGATACTGCGTGTGGGGTTGCGTGCGGCGGAGCTTTGGCGCGGAAGTGTTTCACAGCTATTTTATTGCAATGCACAAAGAAAGGCGCTCTAAATTCGCTCAATGAGCTTTTTACTGGCGGCGACGCGCAGTGCGTAGAAGAATAGCGCTGCGCATAACATGAAGACACCAGAGAAGATGATCGATGGCTTAAAGTTGCTGTCGTGGCCGATGTTGTCGAGGATAGCGCCTGACGACGGGGCACCAACCATGGTGCCGACAAAGTTGGCCATGTACAGCAGACCAATGATGGTGGAGATGCGCTGGACACCCCAGAGATCGGCCATGACGACGGGAAGCAGGCCGATAAAGCCGCCACAGAACATGCCGTAGACGATGGCGCAGGCGATCATTGTGCCGGTGGCCTGGAAGGGGAGCCACAGCACCAGAATGCTGAGCGA